TTTTGTTTCGTTGTGTTGTGTTTTTATTGTTATTTTCCCCCCTAATGTCTTTTTCGGTTCCTCTATATTCCTCCTATAAGTGAAACCATTTGATATTTTTCCTTTTTCTTCTAACTTGTTTCACTGAGCATCATTCCCTTCTAGTTCCATCCATGTTGCTGCAAATAGCATGAATTTATTTTTTTGATTGCTGAGTAGTATTCCAGCGTGTATATCTACGCCACATCTTCTTGATCCAGTTGTCTATTTTAGGGTATTTGGATTGCTTCCAGGTTTTACCTGTTGTAAATAGTGCTGCAGTAAACATAGGTGTGCAACTGCCATCTATTTTCAAAGGTTTTATCACCCCAACCAGAAATGACTTATTAAACAGTAACTGCCAATTCTCTTCATACATACCCATGAAGTCACAGGTATTTTACATTAAAACAAATAGAATTTTATTAAGAGCTATAAGCTATCATAATAGGTAATAAAATGAAAAATTATAAGATATTAAGTAGAGGAGATTTTATAGTTTTGATCTTGTTTATCTGAGAGAAATTAGGGGGAAAAGTAGAAAGTATTTTGCCTGTAGGTGGCAGCGCTGAGACATTTTTACTCCCAGGAAAACTGCTTTAGAGTGGATACATTTCAGCTGAAAGATGGTCCCGGATACAGATGCAGCAATTATGGGAAGAATCCTCTTTGACATAATTACCAAAAGAGCTTGAGTTAAAAGTCCGAGCCTCAGCATTTAAGGTCTACATGACCTTGATAAGTCTCTGAATCCCACTGAATTTGGTTTCTCAATCTGAGGAACAAGACAGTGGTAATGAATGTAACAAAGGAAAGGAATCAGAAATGTGATTCCAATTCTGATAGAGGAATAGTGGGAAAACAGTTAATTTTTATGGAGACACTAGTGGTTGGTAAGTGCGAGTGGTTGTGGTTTCGACACTTACTGTCACTTTATAAAACAGCCCGACAGCACATGGCTTGAAATCTCTACTTTTCCTGAGCAAGCACCACACTTTGGGCTACTACCCTGAGGGCAGTCTGCCTGCCCAGGCGCCCACTAGAGAGTTTTGCCTTGCACTCATCCTGCAGGCAACCCCAGCTCAAACAGAACAGACTGGACTCTGCGAGCCTGACAGTGAGCACATCTTGTGAACCTGATTAAAAGCAGGCATCTATCTCCCTGTAGAAGTTGATGGACTGACTTTCCACTTAACTGGTAGAGAAGCTTTTCTTGTTGTCCTTAATATCTTCCAGGAAATGTTCTATATGTAAAGGGTTATTCTCTTCATCTTAGTTCTCTGAGAAAATCACTTCTGCAATATGTATACTAGAGTGAGGGATTCCTGTTAGGGATTTGAAAATAGTACAGGGCAGTACTCTAGTAGTGTGTGTGTGCGCGTGCGTGTTCATGTGTGGGTGTGTAAACAGATTCAAATATTTTGGAGGGCAATTTGGGAAAAAATTTTTAAAGAAATCTGTGTATACTGATTCAGAGACCCCTCTTTTAAAGTCTGTTCTGAAAACTGTATCAACATAACTTTACAAACCTACATTGTTAAATAGCAACAATTGGAAATGTTTGCCTATGGGGAGTAAGCCAACTGAAGTCTTCCATTGAGTGGAATAGCATGCAGCCATTACAGCCACAGAACAGCAGTGTACAGCATAAATTGTTACAGCAAAAGAGCAAGTAACAAAATTAGCTTTCAGAACAATTTTTAAAAATACAGTGCTTGTGGCCCTCCCTGGTGGCGCGGCGGGTTAAAGAACAGCACTGAGAA